GAAAACCATGGCAGAATATCCCCAGCCCATGGCTCGCAGGTACTGCAGGAACACTGCAAGCTTCACCTGGAAATCAGCGCGAGACGGCACTCAGGAAACAGGCAATCATTTGTTGTAATCTTGCGCTAGTTGTACAAAAACATTGTGTTACCTGTCCTGTTTCCATAGTTTCCTTCTCTATAAGCTTCTGGCCTTTCTTTGGTTCATCAGCATTTGCAGATTTTTTTACAGAAGTATTTCTTCTTAATCTGACACTAAAAAAGGTGAGAAAAATGATCTGGTAAAACATGATTAAATTATTATATATTGTCCATATGTGTTGCACATTCTGCTAAAGATGCTATTTGAGACAAGCTGTTTCCCTGGTTTAATCTACAACTTTAACAAGCTCGAACCTGCCATTGCGCTGGCTGCGGCGGATGCTGTTTTCTCGCTTAAGTGTAAGTGATACAGTGTCCTCCAAAGCACCGTCAGGTTGGGCATCGTCTCCACCTGGGATGAGCTCAAAGTCTTCTGCGTCCTGGCCCTCACCTAAATTAACAATATACATGGTGTTTTACATATGTGGCAGTAATTTATGGTATTTGGGTCAATATGTGAACAACATCAACACAAAGTATCCTTAAAAGATGAGAAAAGAAATGTAATTAATTAATTCATATTTGTGATGTATAATTTTAGCATAGATTTTGGTTGTAAAACTAACAAAACAAGCAATGTGTGCAGATCATATTCCTAATATACTAAGAAAAGGTTGCAATCACCTGTTTCTGAATTTCTCTGATTGTTCTGCTCAGTGGCATATGTGTCGAGAAACTTAGAAAAAGCTCCTCCACTGGCACGAAGGTTTTCATAGGATCCAACTTCAGAAATGACTCCATTCTCCAAAACCACTATTTCATCCACGTATGGCAGGAAGCTTATGCCATGAGTCACCAGGATACGAGTCTGTATGGTCAGAGATATATGAGACTGAAGTTTGAAATCACAAATTACTTAAGCCAAATAAATAAAAATATTCATATGTACTGTATTGTATCGGCTATCAGATAAAGAAGGTGTCACAGAAGTAGTAATAAAGCATAAAAATTAAATTTAAAGTAGGCATTAATAAATATGTTGAATGAGATAGTTATTAATATAAGAATAAATATACCTAAATTCAGTTGAATCAGTTTAAGCTTAGTTTCACTCGACAATTATTAGAAGAATTAAATATACACCCAACAATATTTAAAAAAATTTAACAAAACATCCAAACTTTTTTATCAAATGGTATTTTAGAAAAATTATAAAATAGTGCATATGTAAAAAAAAATTCACAAATACACTATTTTAAAACTGAAAGAAAACAAATTGCAGTTCATAGATGGAATTCACAACAGTTGGTTTAATCATTTAAAATCATTTAAAAAGTTATCAAACTTTTGTGATATTTTCTATCATGGTCTAAGGAGCTTGGAAAGAAAAACGTCTGGACTTCTTTAAGTTGCTTGAAGACGTTTCACCTCTCATCCGAGAAGCTTCTTCAGTTCTAGGGTCAAATGGTGGAGAGTCCCAGGTTTAAGCCCTGTGGGAGTTTCCCTCCAAAGTGGGACAAAGGACCCCTTGATGATCCTCTACCTAAACACATGAGCCAAGGCATAAAAACGG